TTCTGGACTGGATCTACACATAGGACACATCACAACTCTGTTTGCTATGCTGCCCAGCGTTTCTCCTTTCACATGACAATGTGGTCACACAAGTAAGACAGTGGGAGGACAAATCTCAGACAATGACTTTTCCACATGCACAGTGAGTATAGCTATTTGTAGAAAGTGAAATGTGACTCTGGGGAAACGATTCTTCACATTTAGGCCACATGTTACATGAGAATACCTCCTACAGTCTTCAGACGTCACTGCACTTAGTCAACACGTATAGTGATCTAAGAAAATTCAAGGAGATTACATGGAACATGTTGGCTTTTTCATAAAAGTCATTTTTGTGACTTGTTCCAGTTTGTGAAACTGAAAAATTGTACAATTAATTTATTAATCAGTCATTAACTACAGGTGCAGTGGGTGGCGTCTGTTGCCATTTGACTTAAAGCTAACAGTTTCACTACTCTGACTTTACTGTGGTATCAATGTTCTCATGAAACCAGCCCATCAAAGAATGTTCAACTACTTGCAAACTAGTTTCACAGATACAAAAATCAGCATCATGCAGGTGTCATTCAAACTTCTCATTTCTATTTAAGACAGTTTCTTTGCAGTACTTATGCTGGTTTACAGATACAGTCTGCTCATTTCATGCATGCCAATGCTAAGCATGCAGGACACAAGAACAACCAGAGGTGAATGTTAGTGTTACATAATTCGAGGACGAGCCACCTTCTTCCAGCTTCCTGCTATTCAAGGCTTATTTTCAATTAACAGTGAATTTTTTACATGAGAGTGCAGATAATAATCCGTTTCTCCCTCTGAAATCACCTTAAGGACCTGTGAGCAGGTGAAGACGTGAATGTGGGTCAGTTTCAGCTCATTTGTTTTCTCCTCTTCTGCCAGAGAAGCTAGCATATTTATCATGTTCCCGAAAAAACAAACAAACCAAAAAAAACCAAACTCCTCTTTTACTTCACCACAAACTGCTCTACTTAATGTTACCTATGCAACAGTAACACCTGGAAGTCCTAATAATATTTAGTAGCAGCTAAGCTAAAAACTACTTTGTAGGTAGGTTAACTCATTTTAAATCAGGGATGCAGAAAACTCTCAGCTCCATCAAAGCTCGTCTCAGTAACCTAAAAGATGTGGTACCCTACACCCTCAGTCGTGCTGTGAAGACCTTTCCGTAAACAGACGACACTGTCGTTAACCAATTGTCTCACTCCGCGGTACACTAACCAACAGGAGCACAATTGTAGGGACACTGCAGTGATGGGCCTAAGAATCTATGGATACACCATTCAGCAATTCCTGCTTTGCAGGTCCTGCAGTGACAGTCAGTTGGGCAAGCTGCACCAGTCTCTCAGTGGAGACACGAAACACATCAGACATCACAACGAGCCCATTTCCATCTACCCTACAAATATAGACAAAAGTTTAATGTGAAGCCAGCATTAGGGTGTTACTTGGTAACTAAATTGATTTGATGTGCTACGTCTTGACCTGACAGAGCTTAGCAAGTCACAGCAATTACATGATTAATCAGAGCAAGTAAATCAGGAAGTAAATAAAGCACCGACACAAGCTGGCTCTGTGTGAGGGGTGCTTGAGTTTTCCAGTTTAGTTCATTAGTCATGTTTCTTATTTTATACAGCTGATTTTCAGGTTAGTGTGAGTAGCTGATTAGCAGCACTGCCAGCTCTGTCATCTCTAAGTCCCTCTAAGAGTGATGTACTAAAAACAAACAAACAAAACACAACAGTCAGTCCACATTAAGCTGGGAAGAACATTTTGCCTCCAGTTATGTCCCACTTTCTCTGCTGAAACCTTTTCCAATCAGGCTGCAGGGTGTGTAACTGTAAAAAAAAAGCCCAGTCCAGGGATTTAGCATAAAGAAATGCAGTCACGTCACTTGCAAAGCAGCCGGTGGCAGCCATAGTGTAAACAGTTTGCCTGTGTGTTATCCTCTGTTCATCGATGGAGGCATTTGCAGAAATGAGCTCAACCACCTGCTGTGCTCCCGTGCCGTTTGGGTGTTAAAAACCTTTAAAATTTAATGGAGAGAGCTGAAAACTCATTTGTTCTGTGCTGTGACTTTTTCTATTCTCAGGTTTAGACCCTCTCCTTTGTAGAAGGTGAATTTGCTTCATTTTAAAAATCAGACTGATGTCCAAACTTACAGGCCCATGCCTCAAAAAAACAAAAACAAACAAAAAAAAA